CATTCGTCCCCGACTGGGATGGATGGGCAAAACCCTTCCAGTTTCACCTGCTGTTCCCAATTTGGCCACGGAGTTTTCAGTGAATACTCTAGAAGATAAAATATTATGCTGCCACTGCGCTAACGTCTCCTCCATCATGTTTTCTAACTTTTTTTCTTTATTGTGGTAAAAATCACATAATGTGAGATCTGCTCTCTTAACAAATTCAACAGCAACTTCCCATTTCCTCCTCCACTCCACCCGTGTCAACTACCATGCTACTTGCTGCTTCTGTGACCTTCACTGCTTTAGATGTCACATGTAAGTGGAATAATACAGTATACATCCTTCTGGGACTGGCTCGTTTCACTTGGTGTAATATCCTTCAGGTTCATCCTTGTTGCCACATATGACAGGATTTCATTTTTACAGCCGAAAACTATTCCATCGTAGGTATGTACATTTTCTTCATCCATCCGTGGACATTTAGGTTGCTTTCACATTTTAGCTCTTGTGAATCATGCTACAGTGAAAATGGGAGTAAATATCTCTTCGAGATCCTGATGTTAGTTCTTCTGGATCAATACCCAGGTCTCGGATTGGCGGATCGTATGCTCGTTCTATTTTTGATGTTTCGAGGAACCTTCGTACCATTTTTCATAGCAGCTTTCCTATCAGCAGTGCACAGAATTCCAGTTTTTCCACATCTTCACCAACAGTTGTCATTTTTTTTTTTCGTAACGGCCATCCTAACGGGTGTAAAGTGGTATCTCACTGGTTTTCGTCTGTAGTGCCCTCCTGCTCGTCATTTCTAGTTTGATTCTATCTTGGGAGGAAAAGATACTTTGCACAATTTCAGTCTTCTTAAATTTGTAAAGATTAGTTTTGTGACCTGATATGTGATTTATCCTGGAGAATGTTCTGTGTGCACGTGAGAAGATTGTATATGCCGCTGCTGTTCCGTGGAATGTTTTCATTGGTCCGTTAGGTCCATTGGTCTATACTGTTGTCCAAGTCCTCTGATTTCTTATTGATCTTCTGTCTGTACTTTTTTCCCGTTACCGAAAGTGGGGTATTAAAGTTTCCCACTATTACTGTGTTGCTCTGCATTTTCTCCCTTCCTTTCTGTCAAAGTTTGCTTCGTATATTTAGGTGCTCCGAAGCTGGGGGCAGATATATTTGTAATTGATATGTCTTCCTGGTAAATTGAAACTTTTATCATCATACAATGCCCTTCTTTGTCTCTCGTGACAGTTTTTGAGTGAGTCTGTTTGGTCCGATGTGGTTGCCATTTCTATGGAATATCTTTTTCTATTCTTTTGCTTTCAGCCTGTTTGTCCTTAAGTCTGAAGCGAGTCTCTTGTAGACAATGTAATTGGATCTTGTTTTTTTTTAATCCATTCAGTCCCTGATGTCTTTCAATTGGATAACTTATCCTTTAAAGTAATTATCGATAGATAAGGACTTAACTATTGCTGTTTTTGTTGTGTTCTGTCTTGTAGTCCTTTGTCCTGCTTTTCCTTTCATGCTTCTTTCGTGTTTTATTGATTTTTTTTGTAGTGATGTTATTAGATTTTTTTTTCATTTTCTTTAGTATATCTTCCATTGGTTCTTTTCTTTGTGGTTATCATAGGGCTTTCATAAAACATCTTCTAAGTTATAACAATATATTTTATGCTATTAACAACTTCGATAATTTATAAAAACTACACTTTTACTATCTCCCACACGCCTTATATTATTGATGTCACAATTATATCTTTTTATAGTGTATGTCAATTAAATATTTCTAGTTATTGTTAATGCTTTTATTTTTAACTGCTATACTAAGAAGAAGTGATTGTGGTACTGCTTTAGCATTATTACGGTATTCTTTATTTGTCTATCTACTTACCTTTACCAGCCAGCTTCATGCTTTCATATGCTTTTATGTTGCTGTTTAGCGCCATTCACTTCGACTCGAAGAACTCCTTTATCATGTCTCGTAAGGGCAGGTCTAGCACTGATGAGTCCCCTCAGCTTTTGTTTATTGGAAATTCTTCATCTCTCCTTCATTTTTTTGAAGGACACTTTTGCTGGTTATACTGTTCTTTGTTGATACTTTTTTCTTTCATTGCTTTGAATATACCATGTCATTCCCTTCTGTTCTGGAAAGTTTCCGATGAGAAGTCCATTACTAGTCTTATTAGGGCTTCCTTTATGTGATGAGTCACTTTTCTCTTTCTGCTTTCAAATCTCTCTCTTTGTTCTTGAGTTTTGACAATTTAATTATAATATTAAATTTAGAATCTTTTTTTGTTGTTGTTTATTTTGGCTTCTTGAATCTGGTTATCCATTGCTTTTCCCAGATTTGGGAAGTTTTCAGCTATTTAATTTTTATGCACCTGTCTCTCCTCATTCTGAGATTCCCATAATACGAACACCGATTCATATTATGGTGTCCATTAGGTCTCTTCGGCTTACTTTACTCTTTTTCATTTTTTTTTCTTTTTTTTACTCCTCTGATTGGATAATTTCAAATGCCCTTTGTTCAAGTTGGCCGTTTCTTTGTTCTGTTTGATCGAGTCTGCTATTGAACCCAGCTATGGAATTTTTCAGTTCAGTTTTTTTTTTGTATTATTTAGCTCCAAAATGTGTTTCTTTTTTTATATTTTCCAGATCTCTCTTGATTTCTCATTTCAGTTGTGCACCATTTTCCTGAGCTCATTGAGCCTCTCTATGACAGGTAATTTAAAATTTTGGTCAGGTCTTTTCCATATACCTTCATGTCTTTAGTGTCAGTTTCTGGAACTTTATGTTTTCCCTTTGATTGGACCTTATTTCTCTCTTTTTTCATGAACCTCTTAGCTTTGCGTTGGCACTGCACATTTGAAGAAATAGTCGTATCTCCTAGTCTTTACGCACTGGCTCTGACTGGAAAAGACCTTCACCGATCATTCCAGCTAGAGATGTTGGGGGCCCGTGAATGTGTCTTCTCTGAACTTGTGTGTGTAGATTTGTAGTTAGAGGGATTTCTGGTCTTTTCTTCCAGGGCCTCATAATCTCTTGCTCTCTCGTGTCTCTGAAACAGTAGCATGTCACTAAGGTACTTTTTTTGTTCTCAGCTGCCGCGTGCGACTATAACACGCCAGGTTTAATCAGTGCTCGGACTTAGGCAAGACAAGCCATTCCCTTGGGCAGTCCCCTGAAAAGCTAGGATGTTGGATGCATGTTTCACTTCCTTTTTCCCTCCTAAGGTGGAAGCCTCAAGTTAACACACCTTCTCCAGATGCTGAGTGTGCCTCCCACAGCAAGCCCCTCACTCTGTTACATTGTCAGCTTCCTCCAGGCATCCAAACTATGCTCGTTCCGTCAGAGCTGCAAGCCAGGCCAGATAGCTCCCAGCTCCTCGGGTAGCACTCTGAAAGGCTGGAGTATTGGACGCATGTTCCACTCCTCTCCCTCACTATCAAGAGAGAAGCCTCAAGTCGTGTGCCTTTTCCCAGCTGTGCAAAGCCGCGTTAACTGTAGCATCACACCTGGGGGAGAAGAAAAGTTGCAGGGTGGGGTGATCTGTTTGGGTGCTCAGTTCTGCTACCTGGGGGGAGGGACTCACATCAATAAAGTGAAATTGGTCTTTCTACTTTTTTCAGTACAGCTGTTCTAGACTTTGTCCTTGTCTAGGGCACTGCAGCATCTTCACTGGAATGTAGAATTCCCATGAAGGTAGTTTGCTCCACATATTATTGTTAAATTGATGTTTCCATGGGGGAAGGATAATGGGATTTCTTTTTCTGACATCTTGTGATGTCACTCCTTTAACTCTTCAAGAATGAGATATTGCAGAAAAATGCAAATATATGTATACAGCTTGATGACTTCTCACAAACTGAACACACCTATGGAAATCTGCGCCCATAATGCCATCATATTACAAAGACAGTTTAGTTGTGTGTGAAACTCTAGGTTTGACATTCTTTTCCTTCAGTGTTTTGAAAATCCTACTCCATCGTCTTTTTACATCTAGTCCAACTTGTTGAAAAGTCTGGTGTCCATCTGGTTCTTTTACTTTGTTGCTTATTCTTTCTAGACTCTTGTAGAATATATTCTTTGACGTTTCTAAATTTCATGGTGAATATGTCTAGATGATAGTTTAGTTATTTTATTTCTCCGCTTTGCACTGTGTGTTCTTCCAATATGGGATCATTCATGTTTCATTTTAGGATATTTAATCTCTTATTTTTGTAAATATTTCTCTAAGTTTTAATTTTTCTTGGCATCATATTGAATGGCTGTTAATACTTACACTTTTGCGTTTTTTATTAAAATTTTGTTACTTTTAAAACTAATAATGCTACTTGCTTTCAAAGCCCTTATTCTGCCACGTATCTCCTTCCCCAGACTATTCCTTTTTATTCTGTCCCCTGCTTGCCCTCTGTTATCCCCTGCCTCACACACGTTAATGTATTTGAAAGCTAGTATGTGCCTCTATATGCTGCCAACGAATAACACTGAAGGCTGCTCCAACCCAAAGGGAGTTCTCGTGGGGGCAAAATAAGGGAAGCCAGGTGTTCAGGGAGGTGCCACACAAGTCAAAACACACAGTCAGGGTTCTTTGAGAACGAGGCCCATCTTTCCCCCTCTGGTACCAGGCATGAGAGATGCCATTCATCCCCATGGCCACCTCTGGGGCTGTGGGATGGCAGATGGTAGGTGAACATGCACAAATGTCCGAACGCTCTCTGATGAAATTTGGCAATATCTTTCTTCATGATATCTCCCTGATTGTTATAAGTTTAGGTTCCAGAGTTCTAATTCCAGAAACAACAGAAAGTTGTTTCCGTGAGTTTTTGACAGCTTAGTCATTGCTTTAGCGGAGGCACACATTTCTGAAGTCCCTTACTCTGCAACTTTCGAGTGATGTCTCTTTTTATTTTTAACATCACAATTTCATGGATGCTTTTACCAAAAATCAAACATCGTGTGTGCCTTGTTAACAACAGCAAAGTTAACCTAGGCATTCAAGGTTATCAATCAGGAAGATGACGGTAAACTCACCAGGCCCCGTAATGTTACCGATATTGTTAATACCGACAATGGTAGGAATGTACGTCTCCGTTCCACTACTTCCTGGATGTGTGAACTTGAGCAAGGCAGCCTCTCTGAACCAGTATCTAGTCTGTAAAATGGGAATGATAATGATAATGATAATAATGATAATAAATACCTCGTAGCGCATAGTGAGAATGAACCGAGATAAGGTCGTGTTGGGCAGAAGACCAGCCAAACGGTACTTAGCGAACGGTTCTTACTAAAAACGGTGATAGCGTAACTGCTTCTAATCCCGATGCGAAAATACCTCAGCAAACTGAGCTCGCAGTGAAAATATGAAAAGTGGGTAAAATACTAACTAACTTGGCTGTCAATGAATCTGCTGTTTTGTTCTGGGCTAAGCATCTCCAGGGACGAATTAAAGTCGAAGGGCTTTTTTCTAGGTGGATGAGGATGGGAAAGCAGGCAAGACATATCATACCCTCATTGCATTTACCGTGCTGTGATATTTATGCCCGCATCAGTCAGTTTTAGATCATAAAGCATAAGGATCATATATTTAAATTTTTTGTCACGTACAGTGTGTAAGATAAAAACCTTTTTGCATTGCAACTGTGACTCCAATTTAAGAAGGTCGATATGGCAATTTAGAGCAAGGTTTGTTTACTCTTGAAACATTGCAAAGCGACTTTAAGGCTCTGGGTGCTTCTCTTCACGGCATTTAGAAAAAAAATCTAGCTCTTAAAAACACTTCTAACAGAGCTGTCAGTTTTCTTCCTGGCATTATGTGAAAATAAGTATGAGTTATGGTTATCTGATGGCATTTTCGAAGTGCTGTCGACAAGAAGAGTGCATATTTTTAAAAAAATGACAACTTTTCAGGGCTCAAACGAATAAATGAGGTAAATGAGAAGCAGGAAAATTAGACTTTTTTGTGTGTGTATGTGTGTTTGAGAGGCTGCAATATCTTTTGAAAATGTCCCTTTTTTATTTGAGAAGCTAATTCAGTTGTTTTGGGCAATGATCGTATAACCAGAAATCCCCAGCTGCATTCTCTATCATGTCTCTGATCAGTTAGACCCTGAGGAGATTATGGAGTAGAGGTTAGTGACCTTCTCAGGTTTGAGTGCCATTAGTAGTACTAAACGAACAATTAAAAATAGACAGGTAGAAGAGAGAGAAATCTTCCAACACGAAAAAAGAGAAACAAAAAGCAAGGATTGTCAGATCGCTATCAGCCTCAAATGCCATGTTACCTACCTCTATAATAGAAGTTTACTTTCAGCATGCTAGAAAGAGACTAAATGTAGACGGATAAGCCAGGAGGAGTTTAAAATTCACAAAACCAAATACAGGCATAGCTCATTTAATTGCGCTTCACTTTATTGCACTTTGCAGATATTGCGTTTTCATCGAGGCCAGACCCTCCACCAGCAAAGAGATTATGACTCGCCGAAGGCTCAGATGATGGTTAGCATTTTTAGCAGTATTTTTAATTAAAGGACGTGCATCATTTTTGTAGGCAGTCTTATTGCACACTTAATAGATTACAGTATAGTGTAAATGTAACTTTTCTGTGCCCTTTGACTCACTTTATTGTGATATTTGCTTTATTGCAGTGGTCCGGAACCGAACCCACAATATCTCTGAGGTCTGCTTGTACCTTCTTTAGAATACCTTTTCCATCTGGTGCTAGACATCATTTATGTGCCCCAGAGTTGGGTTTGCGTTTACATCAATATTCTCTTAGTCCGCACCTCTGTTATAAGCAAAGATCGTGTCACATTTCGTACCAAATGACTGCCTGTCATCAGACTTTGTTGGAATGCTTATAAAGATACCAGGGTATTTCGGATGTGACCTGCAGAATGAGCCTTGCAGAAGGAGCCGAGCAAGTGCAAACTCTTTCTTGTATGAGTTTTTCCAGGTAATTTACTGTTTGGCAGCAGTCTGACACATCCGTAAGAAGCAACAAACATAAACGAGCATTTATAGAAAAACGTAACTGAATAAAGTGGCAGGTTTGCTGCTGATGCAGAGTGTTCGGTGCTGGGGCGTACAGTTAAAGATGCGCTTGAGAATTCTCTCGCAAGTCTGTATCAGTAAACACAAAGAGCAAGACGATTAAATTCCTGCGAGTTGAAACTGTGAAGTAGCAGAAAATAGGTCCAGTTCCACTTTCTCAGCTTCTTTGCGTTCTGAGCAGTCCAGCTGCGGTATGAGAGGTGTGGTAACGTGTCCATTCTGTGCGTAGACACCGTAGGGCTAGGAGTCTTAGAAGTACTGAGGGCTTCACACCAATTTTCGAAGGGTCCGGGGTTCTAGTAAGCCAGCTCAATGAAATGAGTCACTGTTGATTGTTTCTAAAATGTGCCCTTGGTGAATTAGTCTTAATGTGATACAGTTCTCTTGATGCGTTTGTCCCCTAACATGATTTCAAAGGGGTCGGTTCTGAAGTTTTTTCTTACCTTTTAATATTGAGCCATTTGTTTTGCTTGTTCGGAATTTGACGATCGACCTGTAATTCTTTGTTACTCTCTTAGCAAACCGCATGGGATCTGCTGCCACTCGGCTGAAACACATGAAGCAGTGACCAAGTTTCACGATGATAAAAATGTCACGATAAATGAGTTTTTCATATGAATGGGAACATCTAAACTTACTTCATAGGAACTGCCTGAACAAACGTCAAAACTCTATGAAGAATCGTGCTGTCTGCAAAATAGGCCTTGCTGCTGGTGTCATGCCCCCAGAGACGGGGAAACGAGCAGCTGGAAGGAACCCTGGTCGAGGAAGAGGGGGATTCTGTGGATATTTTTTTTCGTGAGTTGGTTTTTTGTGATGGCGATGCTGGTGATTTTTGTGGCATTCTCAGAATTCTTGGAGGCTGCGGGGATGTCTAGGAATCATCTAGAGCAGAAGTTGGCAATCTGTGGTCCTTGGGACAAATCCAGTGTGCCACCAAGTTTTGCAGTGCCTCTGTGCTAAGAATTTTTTTTATATTTGTTAATGGTTGGGAAAACAATCAAAGATGAATAATTTTTGTGACAGATGACAATTATACGAAATTCAAGTTTCACTGTCTGTAGATAGTTTTATTTGAACACAGCCACACTCATTTATTTATGTATTACCTATGGCTGCTTTTACAGTACAATGACAGAATTGAGTAGTTGTGACAAATTAATTACAGGCCTGCAAATCCTAAAACATTTACTATCTGGCCCTTTAAGGAAAAAAATTTGCCAACCCCTTTTCTAGAGTCATCAGATTTCATGTCAGTGGAGTTCAACCTGATGATTTTTGTGGCTTAATTAACGAAGACCTGGTACCGTGAACTATTGAACATTTATGCTACATTGCCATTTATCCACTGATTCAAGAAGCTAGTTTATAGGCACTTAAAGTAGGTTAAATGGAATTTCAAATTACAACAATTTCTCTTTAGAAATGTATTGAGAGCTTAATTTTAAATGTTTTAGGTTTTGTAATGATCAGGTGATAAAAATATTCACACGTGACTATTTGATACTGGATGAACAGTTGTAAATGTAGTTTTGTTTCTACAGCTTCAGGAATGCAGAATTTATGATTGGCTCTCAAATCCCTGATGGATCAACAATTTCAAAATTGTTCTTTATCTCTTTTTCTTTTTAGGAAATGATTGAAGTGTCAAACACTGAGCATAACTCGGATTATGAAAGTTAACTATTGTAAAAAAGGATGCAGTCATTTTAGAAATTACTAAAGAAGTTATTTAATAGGATTATTTTTTGTAAAGATTGAATTCTTACCTTAAAGGGGGAATGTAATTGTAATGGAACGAGTTTCCATTTTCTTAGCCTCCTCACTTGTGTCTTGGTCATTCTCTCTGCTTGATTGATGGTTTTAGTGTTGATATTCATTTTCTAAATATTTATTGAATATCTACACAGAGCAAGATATCGTACATATGCAACTGTGTATTGAGGATTCATATTTTTAATGATCAGTGGGTAAATAGTGCTGATTTAAAAGAGAGCATGCATTATTATGCTCGGAGGCCACAGAATCCTTAACTTTTAGTTTTTTTTGAGAATTTCTTCTTTTTTAGGTGAAATAGACGTGACTTTCCAGTGTTATTTGCCTCTTCAAATGGACCGGCGGACAGATTGTCATTTTCAGTGTACTGCATTTATTTGGCGTGAGGTTAGATTGTTTATTTCAGGGTTTCTTGTTTCTGGAGGTAGGCCTGTGTCGCTGTAAACTTCCCCCTTAGTATTATTATTGCTTTTGCTGTGTCCCATAGATTTGGGGATGTTGTGTTTCCAATTTTACTTATGTCAAGGTATTATTTCCTGTTTTATTTTCTCTTTGATTTCTTCGTTAACCCATCGGTTGTTCAGTAGCCTATTGTTTTGCCTCCATGTATTTTTTTTCCCCAGTTCTCTTCTTGTAACTGATTTGTAGTTTTGTATGGTTTAGGTCAGAAAAGGTGCTTCATATGATTTCAGTCTTAAATTTATCGAGACACGTTTCGTGGCCTAACGTTGAAGTAGCAATTCTGGGAAATGTGCCATGTGCACTTGAAAGGACTGTATATTCTGCTGTTTTGGATGGAACATCCTGTGTATATCTATTAAGTCGATCTGTTCTAATGTACTCTTTAAGGCCACTGATTTCTTCTGGATTTTCTGTCGGGAAGATCTATCCATTGATGTAAGTGGTGTATTAAAGTTCTCTGCTACTGTATAACTTATCAATCTCTCCCTTTATGTCTATTAATATTTGCTTTATATGTTTAGGTACTCCTGTTTTGGATGCATAGATGTTTACGAGTGGTATATTCTCTTGTTGGGCCAATCCCTTTATCATTACGTAATACCCTTCTCTTGGTTCAGTCTTTGTTTTAACGTCTTTTTCTGTCTGGCGTGAGTATAGCTACCCAAGCTTTATTTTCATTTTCATGTACATGGAATCTGTTTTTCTCTCCCTTCATTTCCAGTCTGTGTGTGTCTGTAGATATGAAGTTATCTCTTATACGCAGCATATGTGTGGGTCTTGTTTTTTTTTCTTTATTCAGCTACCCTAGGTCATTTGATCGCAGCATTTAATCCATTTACATTTAAAGTAATTATTGATAGATATGTACTTATTGCCTTTTTGTTAATTGTTTTCTGGTTGGTTTTGTAGTTCTCTGTTCCTTTCTTTTTCTCCATCTCTCTTGTGATTTATCTTCTTTATCATTTTGTTTGGATTTCTTTCTGTTTATTTTTTTGTGTATCTGTTATAGGTTTTTGGATTGTTATCATGAGATTTACATTTAAAAAGGTAGACGGATAATAGTCTAAATTGATGACTGCTTAAATTCAAACACATTCTAAAAGCAGTTCATTTTTACTCCTCCCCCATGTTTTGTGTTTTGATGTCATATTTTGCATCTTTTCTCCTTTGCGTTTGCGTCTGTTAACCAGTTATTGTAGATATAGATGGTTTACTGCTTCTGTGTTTTAACTAGCTCTGCAAGTGAATGATTCACTACCTTTCTATACGTTTGCCTTTACTAGTGAGTTTTTTTTCTTTCACATATTTTCTTAGTTCTTGTTTAAGCATTTTCTGCTTAAAGAAGTCTCTTTAAGTTTCTTGTAATGCCAGTTTAGTGGTAATAAACTCCTTCAGTTTTTACTTGTCTGTGTGGATGACCTGGTGTGCGGGGCTGGCTTCTGGCCTGGCTGGCTGCGGGACTCACCTGTGAATGGCGCTGGTGCATTGTGTGTGAGCTGCGTCACCCCCAACCGCCCACGCCCGCAGGAACTACTTGAGGAGGGATGTGGCCTGACTAGAGCTGCTTTGGGTGGGCCAGGCAGGTTGGGCATCATGGGCCGCAAGGGAATCCCGGGGTGTGGTGAGGAGTGTTAGCTGGCCTACCTAGGTGGCAGGAGCGCACAGAAAAAAGAAAATAAATGGCTTCTGCCAGCGCTTTTGTCCCCAGAGAGATTTCCAACAGATCCCTGCACTTCTAGCTCCTGCCCCGAGGTTAGTCAGTGTGTCTCCTTCACATGTGACGCAGGTGCTTTTCGGGCCGCTGCCCCTGCTGGGACTCAGCCAGTGTGAGTTTGCGCTCTGAGCCCTTTAAGAGCAGAGTGTCGGTTTCCACAGCCCTTGAACTTAAGCCCCATTGGTTTCCCAAGCAAGATATTCGGGGGGCTCCTCTTTGCAGTGCAGGTCCTCCATGTTGGCGATCAAATGTAGGCCTCGGAGCCGTCACTGTTCGTGGAGGGCTTCTGTCCTTCCGAAGTGCCTCCCGCTGCGATCGGGGACACTGAGGGCGTGTGTCCTGACTAGGCCGCGTCTCCGCCCCTGCCACCGTCTCCACGTCTCCACTTTTGTCTTAACACCTTAGCTGCAGAAAACCTGTTCTGCTGGTCCTCCGGGCTTTCTCAGCGACAGTATTTCTGCATGTGGTTTTAGTTTTGGCGTGTCCACTGGAAGAAGTGACTTGAGGATCTAACTGCTTCGCCGTCTTGAACCATGCTCACTACGTCCCATTTTTGAAGTGAAAGATAAACCCTGAAGGGCGTTCAGAGTAGACACAGCCCTTACCTGAGAAATGCATCATGTTTCCGAAGTGTTTGTAAGTCTCCTTTTGAGAACTCAGAACGTTTTTCCAGAGGAAAAAATAATTTTAAATAGCGCCGGAACTAGCGCTCCAAAGGAGTTAACCAATTGTGTGACGGGTGTTTTTCCTTCAGATAATCAATATGGATTCTCTCTTAAGGAGGAGACGACATTGTAGAGGAGCATTTTGGGGGCTTTCTTTTTATCTGTTATTTATTAGGCTGGATAGTGAGTACATATGTGTTCATTATATTGTTTTGGGAACTTTTTATATGTCTGAAATGGTTTATAATTTGAACAATGCTATTTTAGTTCTGGAAGTTTACTTCGAATATGAACATTTAAAAATCATTTACCTCGAATCTTGATAATTATGGGAAATAATGGTTTGATTCGAAAAAGATAAAGAGAGAGCTCGAAATTCTGAAGGGGTTTTATGAGTAATTCCAATGGCATAGATTTGATGGTAATGATCTTCATTTTGACAAATATCACTTCAGAATGTATGTTTTTGCTGTTAAGTGTATCACCAACATTTACCTATTGACCACATACATAGGCGTGGTTTTGAGAGAGAAGGCGCATAGTCATTCACTTGAGAGAAGTTGGCAAATTTTGAAAGGCAAAGAAGATTAAATTGCATGTGCATGTACAAACACATGCAAGGTCATCTTGATGTACAGTTACTTGAAGTAGGCACTTACGAAAAACTGGAAAATGAGGGAGTAAAGCTCGCGTGGGATCTTAGTGTGGAGAAAGGCCGTGAGGAAAACAGCTGAGTTAAGCATCACAAAGGCGTCCCCGGCAGTGGACGGCGTGTGGAGGTTCGAGGGTACGTGGAATCGTGTGGGAGCTTGGCTTTGGCAAGACAGCGTGCAAACAACCATTAGGATTTTTGAAATTTGTATAATTCATGGAATGCCTTATATGTTTACAAATATGTATAAGAAATCAACTACTCATTACATTTCAGCTAAGAGCCGAGTTAATTTTTAAAATAATTTGGTTAGCTTTTTGTGTATGGAGGTGGTTTTTTGGTTGATTTGATTTTTGCTCTATTGCACTGTACAACATTAACTTTTATATTCAGACATTAATCCATTTGTAAAACTCATTTTTGGTTCAGTAAAGCCTAAGCATCACTTGCCTTTTGGGAGAGACTAAGAGGTAAATGTTTCTTCACTAAACTTCTGGTGCATTTCTGAAGGACGTGTGTCCGTTTTACAGATGCCTGTCTGGTATTGCCATGGAGAGGTTCTTTATACTGCCTTCTTTCAACTCCACTTTTGGGACATTATCAAGACAAAAAATTGGCCCAAGGAATCTTTCTTTGAAGTCCGTCGTCTGGTTATACAGAAGTATTTGGCAAAACTGATCTTGTGACCAGTATCTAAATTTAGCAGTCAGAGTAAGACTAAAGAGGGAGCAGATACAAGGGAGAACACAATAAAATATGACAAATGGAGTTAAATAAATGGAGGAGTTTTTTAAAAAGAGCATAGTAGCCATTTAAGAGAGAAGCGGCTGTGAAGACTTGGGAGTCTTCAGGTAACAAAGACCGAGAAACCCAGAGAGAAAGAGGGCAAAAATAAAATGCAATTCGACACTTTTAATGAGTGATATAATTTACTTTATATTGGACCATGCATTGTGTTTGTTATCTTTTTAGGCACATATCGAAAGCATAAGCATCTCTATGGTTTTATTTTGCGTACGTTTATAGACAGTAAAGGATATCTTTCCAACTGTTCACCCTGAAACCTCTTCCCCTTTTTTTCCTCTTCTGCAGATCCCAGAGTCCTTGAGACATAGCGCATGGCAGAGACTGGAAAAAGGCAATTCAAGACAGGTATTAGATGCTTCAAGGGTAAGATTAAGCAGACACTTCTACATATAGCTAGGACAAGTGTTTAAGCCCTGGGAGCATTTTCCAATTTATACTACATATTTCATATTTCCCGAAGGATTTCCGTTTTCATTTTTTTCCCTAAATATTGGCTAGATGGAATAAGAAGGTATGTTGCTGCTACTGGAAATGGAGAAAGAAATCTTGATATATTTCTGCTCCTGGAGAAATCTGAATCTCTTGAGACCAGTGCCAGCTAGAGTAACATTTTCAGAAAGCTGTTAGAAATGTAATGGCAGCTTGTTGATACTTGTTTGTCCTGTTAATTTGTATCTGTTATGGAGAATGCTGCAAGTTTTCAAGTGAGTAAAGTTTCTTTACCCTAGAAGATGTTCAGATGACAGAATTTCAAAGGACTCTAAGCTTAATTAGAATCTGTTTGGTAAGTGATGCTGAGTTCAGTGTTGTCGAGGGTTATTTTTCATTGCTAATGTTAGTGAAAGACACCTTTAAAAAATCTCAAGGCTTTAACATAAGACAAATCTCTAAGATAGAAAAAGGCTAGGAAATCAGAAGGTGGTCGAAATCCTGGGTATTTCCTTTATTTTCTTTTCTGGTTAACAGTTATTTGCCATCAAGGTACAAGGCATTGTTCTAATTTATGCAGAGGCTGTAGAAATGAATTAGATTTTCCATGATTCAATTAAAGTTTTAAGTTAAGGGAGAATGTGCTCATTCTTCTCATTGTTCATGACACCACTGAGTTTATTTATATTTGAATCTTTTGCTCTGTTGAAGACCTCATCATCTTGTGTGATATTCACTAGACCCCTCGATGTAACATGTCTCTCACTCTCACAGGGAAGCAAATGTCACAAAGAGACATTAGCACACTAAAAATTACCTTTTGGTGTTTTCCCTTTAAAAATGCTTTAAGCTTATTGATCTAAAAGTCAGTAACCCATTTATGGCAGTTGCTTTTTGTTTCTCAATTGGTGAGAACAAGGAGGCACTTTTTTGCTTTTTATAATTTCCTCTGCAGCTTGACCCAAAGCCGATGCTGTTATGCTTTGGTGTTGATACACATTGTGTTTATAGAGAACTTGCCCTTATTCATCAGTTATTATTATGACTATTGAAGCATTATTGTATTGTATTTCATTAATTTTTTTTTAATTGCGGAAGGAGATATTAGCGAGCCTAAATTTTAAGCCTAATTTTTACTCTCTTAACTATTAGATTTTCTCAAATTATTGAAAATTTGGTTCTCTAACCTGAGCAGTAATCTTAAGGCCTTTTAAAGAAATTATAATAAGCAAGATGTTTGCGTGTTTTCAAGGCTAGTTGGAAGATTTGTAGATAGCTCTATTTTACAAGCTGATCCAACAAGCATTGAAATCTACTGCCCTCCCTGTGTGCATGACACTGCGTGCGGTACGTGCCATGGGAGACGCAAGGCAGAGAGACTGTACCTAATCTTAAGAAATTGACCATGTAATAGGAAAGACAAACCTGTGCAAATTCCTGTAGCAGAAGGTAGACTGTCAAGTATTAAAACGTACTTTGTTTCTAAATGTATGTGCGTGAGCCAGAATAATAAGAAAAATAATCAGTTGTGTGAAATCAACTATTAAATTGTAAAGCAAGAACGTATACACGGAGAGCAAGTGGGATTTGATTAATTGGCTGTATAATACACTTTGCTTGCCCATGATACGGTACCAGATTGCACAGTACTGTAGTAGCAAACGTCAGTAGGAAAGCCAATACACTGTCAGATCCTGAAAGATCCGAATTTCTGGAATGGCTAACGGACAGCCTGATATCATTTTTAACTAGGCTCAGCAGACATGGCCGCTGATAGAAAAGAGGACGTGCTGGCATGGCCATGCAGGAGGGGGACTCCACACAGACCCGAAGGAAGGGGTAAGAGCCGATCGCGAGTAACTAACTGGGAGTTCGTACAGATGGCTGTGCTTGCATGGAAGGTATTTCAAAGGTGCTCACGCTCCAGAATATTTTGATCGACTCATGTAACTGCAGGTTTTCTAATACAAAACTGTGTAAATTGACCATGGTTATATAGATGAGATTTTCTCAGGCTTAAAACAATCGAAATTCATGATCGACTAAACAAGAAGAAAAATTATCAACCTAAACGTTTTTGTTCTTCATTTAAAATAGCATTGGTCGAGGTTTTCTGTTATACAGTCTAGCCTTATAAATAAATAGGTAAATTAGATTTAGCGCGTACAAGTAATTTGTGTGTGTGTATGTTTTAAGGTTAACATTTTTCTTTTGTATACTTAGTTTAGAAGAATCCTAGAATGTCTCCTAGCTTCATGGTGAATCTTCTATCTACGTGATCCATTTATTTAATTATCCATATTTTTTATCATCATCATCATACAGACAAGCTAATCAGTAGGCCACTGAAATCAAAAGATTTAATTGTATTATGCTTTTTCCGAGTGAGTGAAAATGTCATTGGAATACTGTTCCACAGGTCCGCATCTGGTTCTCTTTCTCTGAGCTTGCCTTTATTTTTTCCCCCGATTTGACCCAATAGTTTAGGTACGGTATCACTAAGTAGAAACGGTATAGGGTTATTGGCAAGAGAACAGATTTATGTAAAAGTGCTCTCTAAATTGTAGAGAGCTAAATATTAGTTATTTTATTGATAGGAGGCGATCGGTAAGCAAACCTTTCCAGTATTTTCCTCCCTGTTTCTTCGATCCCCAAAATAGCTCCTTTCTTTCACAGAAGTCAAAAACATCACTATCACATTTCTGTCCCATTTTTGTATAGTACTGCTCTTCGTGGCTGTCTTTAGAAACAGCAACATATAAAATCGAATTAAAAAAAATTAATACAAATACTGAGATTTATTTATTCATGTATTGTTCTTGGCATGTTATTTGCCAGTTTTCAGGATTGCCCGTCACCAGGGCCTCTTAAGGATAGTTGCAAATAATGCTCAAAACACACCAAAGATATGTTGACTAATAAAAGAAAAGCAGTCACTTCTCGTTGGCTCCAGCATTACAAACTTCAAGACAGTTTCTTGGAAGGGTTAAAGAAGTACAAGTTAGGAGTCGATAGTGGTCTCGGCACAGGGAGCTCGGCACAGGGAGCTCGGCACAGGGAACACAGTGAGCAGTAAGGTAATGGCCGTGTGTAGAGCCAGAGGGGAGATAGAGTCATCAGGGGCATTGTTTCATAAACTATGTAAATGTCTAACCAGTGTACTGTGTACTTGAAACTAATAAGAACATTTAAAAGAAAACAAGACATTTTCTTTGTTCGCCAGTAAAATTGGAGCGAGAATCATCATAATACTTTACTCGGCACAGGGAGCTCGGCACAGGGAACACAGTGAGCAGTAAGGTAATGGCCGTGTGTAGAGCCAGAGGGGAGATAGAGTCATCAGGGGCATTGTTTCATAAACTATGTAAATGTCTAACCAGTGTACTGTGTACTTGAAACTAATAAGAACATTTAAAAGAAAACAAGACATTTTCTTTGTTCGCCAGTAAAATTGGAGCGAGAATCATCATAATACTTTACATCTGGTGTCCTCTTTACCCTTTTTTCCCTGCCATCTTTGTGTTCCTTTAGCCTCGTTAGCTAAAAGGGACCGTAGAATAGCAGAGCTTGAAGGTAACAGCAGAAAAGAGGAGGTACGGGGCTTCGTTCACAGCCCGAGCCCCGAGCCGGACTGCCTAGATTCCAATCTTGGCTCCACGTCTTCCTAGTAGAGTGACCTTGAACACATTACTTAATCTCTGTGTATCAGTTTCTTCATCTGTAAAGTGAAGATGCCCATCACACCAAAGGGGATTTAAAGAAGTGAACTCCTCATACCACGTAAGGATCTGAAATAGTGCCTGGTGTATAGTGAAGTGTTCAGTAAACATTAGCCGCAATTACTACGAGGGGATTCTGTAAACTCTGCCCTCTGTCATGATCCGTTCATTTGAAAAGTACGTATCGAACACCTGCTCCTGCAGAACTCCGTGCTAAGTACTGTAGCTACAGTGATGAACCAGATCCAGTCCCGCTGTCCAGAAACTTAACAGTTTAGACGGTGATCGTTGTTCAGGATCTGAATCGAGGCCTTCAGGCTTATTTTACTCTCGTGCATTAGGAATAAGTTGATTTAAAAATTTTAAAAATATATACCTCCACCTGTGAAATGCCTCTTTGATTTGGCATTACTTTTCAAACTTTATAATTTATCTAAACTATAACCGAAGTCACGTACTTTACAGCTTAATGGGCTCGTAATGCACAATTACACAACTTCAGAACCCATTTCGTTAAACGAAGTGGTGACATTTTATGCACTGTTGAGCCAACTAGAATAATTTTTTTTGCCCTTAGCTATAACTTCTCTGTGTCCTTATTGAAAAAATTCGGGGCTATGTCATGGGTTTTGACTGGAGAGAGTGTCTCTAATGACCTGTGGAACCAGAGTCTCTTTGCCATTCCGTCAAGAGAAATAAAAGACAGAACTTGTGAAATGGGAAAGTGGTCGAAATGCCCCAGTCGGCGTTATAATGTATTAAATTATCTTTATTTACTAATAGTTTGATTGGAAAAGTGAATTTTAAAATTACAGCCTCATTCCCTTTTAAAAAATACCTTACTTACTCTTTACTCAGTAAACCGGTAATGAGAGACTACAAAAATAGATCGCTGAGCCTCGGAGCGGGGAGAAGCGTGATACAGACTGTCCGGTACCATGTAACGCGCTGTCCTGGCTTTCTTATATGTTGACAGGTTCTCCTCATTCCTTGTTGTGCAAATCGACTTGAAATCATGTAACTTTCCCCCCTCAAAATGAATTAACATTTTTTTTTGTCATTATATGTGAGCTGCAGAAAATAAAAGCAAGCAAAAAAAAAGAAAAAAAATTATCAGTGGTTTCATCTTCTCACAGCTACTGATGATGTTAACACTTTGGGGAGTCTCGCTTTCCAGAAACATTTCCATGCATGGTTAAACTCAAACGGATATCACATTTTGTTACACGAAAAATTACTTTTTTTAACTCTGCTTTTTTCACTTAGTATGTGCCGTGTCACTACGCATATTTCTGAAAGGCTGGATTTTGTTGTTTGCATTCACTGTAATTTGTTTACGTGGTTCTCTAAATATTAACTGTTTAGGCTGTTTCCGATTTTTTTCTATTAAAACAGCATGGGACTAAATATTCTTATAGCGACATTTTTCATCTTTTTATTCGATAAATATTTGTTGAATACCTGATGTATGTTAGCCATTACATTTGGTATTGGGTTACAACAGTGAGCACAAAACACAAAGTTCCTACTCACATGGAATTTAAATTCTAGCAGGAGAGCAGATGGTAATCAAATAATCATGTTGCTGTATATGTTTGTTTATAACGGGAATGGATGCTCCGGAAGAAAGGGGTCCCGTTCTGAGAGAAAATCCAGCCACGGATCCTTCGTGGGGTTAGGAAAGACCTCGCCGAGGAGGCGCTGCTCGAGCTGGCAACCGGGTGTGGGTTGGCACCGTAGAGAGAGAGAGATTATCCCCGACAGAGTGGACGGCGTTGCGCAAAGGCCCCGTGGCAGGAGGGACCGTAGCATCTTTGAGAAAGTAAAAGAAAGCCAGTGCGACACGAACCCTGGGAGAAGTGGAATGAGACAGCTGTGGGGAACTCGTCAGGGGCCAGGCCGCGCTGGGGACTCTGATCTTTACCCTCAGAGTGATGGAATGCCTTCGAGAGCTTTGCAGCCGGGGCCAGGCGTGATTGCAGGGCGAGCAGGGGACAGAGCGGGCGCAGGAAGAGCAGATTGGAGGGTGTCGCACTGGTTCGGGTAAGAAGTGACAGCTTGGATAAGGTCGCTGGTGGACGTAGAAGTAGACAGAGCCAAGAGATCTTTAGAAGGTGGACTCGATTCAACTTGGAACATGTTCTTAAGTGTTTTTTCTAAAGCGTAGGCTTCCAGAAATGGAATTCTCAAGACACAGGGCCGAATTATTTCAAAAGCTTCTGGTAGATATCACATTGCTTTCCAGAGAGAGTATTTTCATGTACTCAGCCATCCGCAGAGTATTAGGGTGCTCATTTCCATGCACCTTCGTCAACAACGAACAGTAACATTTTTGATGTTTTTGTTTTTAATACCTTTTCCAGAGATTGAGTAAATACTTCAGTTTTTAAAACGGGCGTGATTTTCCCACTCTCCATGGTTTCAGTTCCCTGCGGTCAGCCGCGGTCCGAAAATATGAAATGGAGAATTCCAGAGAGAAACAATTCATAACTTTTACATCGTGCGCCTTTCTGAGTATCGTCATGAACTATCACAGCCTTCAGCGCAAGGCGCGAGTTCCCCGTGTCCCACGCGCCCGCGCTCTGCGTGCCGCCACCCGCTAGTCATTTAGCGGTCGTCTTGGCCGTCGGTGTCGCAGTGCTGTTTTCAAGTAACCCTTGCTTATTACGTCGTTATAATTGTTCCATTTCATTATTGTTAATCTCTCACTGTGCCTAATTAACGAATTAAACTTTATCGTGCGTATGTACGTATAGCGAAAAACACAGTACATACGGGGTTCACTCGTGTCTGTGCTTTCGGCGTTCGCTGGGGCCTCGGAGCACGTCCCCTGCAGAGAAGGGGGGCCGGCTGCGAGTATGTGCGGATCTACTTTACAAAGTCTGGTTTCCATCCTTAATATTACTCTTCTAAAGCTGACACTGAAACAGAAAGAATTTAATGAGAACGTTGCCGTGGGCACGTGGGCAGACACGTGAAACACAGATTTACACCAGATTAAGCAGGACTGTCAAATGACGTTTTTTATTGAAATTTGTGGTAACCCAACCTGTGTTCTGTGTAGTCAGTGCCGAGACTCCTACTTTCCTAAATACTGTAACTCTTCGACCAGGAGTTGGGACTTAGGGCTTCAGATTATTTTAAATAAACATACTGATAAAGGGCCCAAAAGTATATAAAGGTTTTGACCACAAAGATGGAAATGTAGAAACGTTTTTGAAATTTTATGTAACGTTTGATAGCTTAATTAATAAATGTATATAGTACATTTTCGACAATGTAAGGTTGGCTATAGCTGTAAGTAAGAAATTAAGAGAAATGAGTAGCTTTTAAAAAGCAATTGAAATCCTTTCTTTTTCTCCAAAATAGTTAGGGTTTGAAAGGTATTGACCTTAGATTTCGAATAAAAGTTGTGTTCGTCATACTTTTCTATTTCTCTCAAATAGGCACATAATTCTACGTTATTGAAATCTCGTTACATTTGAAATGACACGTTACTCACTGCTTTGTTTCCTCTCAACAGTTAAAAGATGTCGATACTCAGAAAATCATAAAAGCAATGCTCGCTTACGTGTGGCCCAGAGACAGGCCAGATCTGCGAGCGAGGGTTGCCGTTTCCCTCGGATTTCTGGGTGGTGCGAAGGTAAGAATGGGAGGAACTGTGTGTGTTCGTTGGTCTAAGAAATGCTGTGACATTTCCTACTAATGACACTTGGGCTGATGTGAGCCACTTTTGGGGAGCATTCTCAACTTTTGGAACCCGTATTTGTGTAACTCATGCAGTCAGCAGAGATTGGATGGTGATTCTCAGTTTATCTGTGGTTCAGACTTATAACAGCCTCAGCTTAATGGACCACACTCCTGAAACCAGTGTAAAGTGCAGGATCGTTTACTGTAACAGAGCCTCACGACTTTATACAAAACTCCTCAGAGCCCCGCTGGCTCCTATGTCTGGTAGGCTTGGTTCTCAGTTCCGAGTAAATTGAGGACGGTGAAGACGTTTTAAGCACAGTGATAGTCACAAGTGGTAAACAACGGTGTAACATCGAGGGATAAAAAGAGGGAAAACAACCCAGCCATCAAGGCTGGGCATTTTGGTACCATTCAGTACAGCGGCTCTGTGCACCTTGGCAGCCTTCTCAGTTTGGTGCTGTACCCTAACACCTTTTAATCAGGGAAACTTACAATGAATGACTCGGAGCTTTCAAGAACAATCCCTTATTTTCAATTTTTTCAAATTTTTTTGAAGTCAACAAGGTATATACATTTAGGTAAAAGACATAGTTATGGTACATACGTAGGCCGTGAAGTCAGATTTCCTGGGCTCTGCCGCTTGCTGACTTTATAACCTTGGGCCAACTGCTTCGTCTCTTTGCCTGAGTTTCCCAATTTATAAAATAAAGTAAAATACAGTTGTTATAAGGATTATGTAAATTAACATATAAAAGGCTTAGAACAGTGCCTGGCACATAGTAAAATATCATATACATGTTCAAATAAAATTAAGTTCGGATTTCTATTAGAAATACGGTTCAAAAACGTCCGCTTAGAAGTGTAAATGAGGTTTGGCTATAATTTGGTTACCACTGTTACATTGGTGTTAATATATTGTTTTAGGACACAGGTCTTATCACCCAGTTCTTCTCTGTGTCAGATATATTCCCTTTTATTTACTTCTTTTCCCTACCCCAAAAATATTTATTGAGAATTTGTCATACCAAGTACCGTTGTTGGCACTGCAGGGTATTCACATACAAATAAAGCACCTTCTCAAATCACGGAGGATGAGACGAGCTTTATTTTATTGCCACAATACAAAGCAGGTCTTAGATGATTTAGAGGAAGTGTCGGGGCTTTCAGAGGGAAGGAGCGCGATGCTGGGAGTCGAGGAAGGTTTCACAGACGGAGGTGATGTCTGAGATAGGCCCGGGTGGATAAGGAGGGTTCTCACAGGTACGGGAATAACACGAAGAACATGGGGGGACATGTAGCGCGTGTGGAGCGGCGAGGAGCCCAGCCTTGCTGCAGTGACGGGATAACGTTTCAGAGGAATTAGACGTAACCTTCGGAAGATGAGGAGAGCTTCTAATGCGGCATGCCTTAAGCGTAAAACCAAAATGTGACTACAAGCGAAGTAGGACGCTCTTTGAGCACAGGACTAATGAGCTGCGCAGGCCGAACTCGGTCTGACCGTTCCATAGGGTGGACTCGGGCGCCGAGAGGCCTAGGTGGGGACACCATTCATTTCCATTCGGTGCGCCATTCGGCGCATCTCTGCTGGCCAGTTAGGGGGCCGCTGTGATCAGCGGGGTGAGAAGCAATAGTGTGTCCTGGAGTGCTGGCGTCAATGGCAGTGTGGACGGGGACATGCCAGATTGTGAGCGGACGAGGTGGAGGCAACAGGACTCGGCAGCACATCGAGAGGAAGAGGAGTCAGAGATGACGCCAAGGCTCAGAGAGCGATAACGCCATTAACACAGGCGGGTCGGAAGTCCAGAGGGCTTGTTTGGGAAGGAGAAAATTTCGCTTTTGCTCATGTGAAGTTTGAGGTGCTAGCAAAGCATCGAGACAGAGAATTAGTGAGTTCACCAAGGAAAAGGAGAAATAAGAGATGGCTACAGACAGAACCTGTAGCGAAGTAAATAGTGGCGGAAACACAGACTGAGTGATTAGAGAGTTAGGGTCAAAGCCAAATAATTTCGTCCGACCGCCCGTTTCTCCTCTCTGCGCACTGCTGAGCGCTCTCCCTGGGGACCGGACCCTACGTTTCACTCTGGAACCCAACAGAGCGCACGGGACTACAGAGCGAAGGCTCACACCGAAGAGAGCCTTGTATTCATTCTTGGCACAGCACTGGTTGCCGAATTATCTTCTACCTACAAATTACTTAAGAGTGAGGATTATTCTGAAGTCTTGTACGGAGCGGAATTAGCGAATTGGCCTTTAGTCCATTAGCTGAATGTAAGCACCTTGCTGACGAGTTGGCCGATCGTTTTCTGGACTTACTCTTTTTGTAAATTTTTAAAAAGTTTTAAAAATTTTTTACGCTTACAGCACCTGGTCTTCCTAGGCACTCTCCCATCCAAGTACTACCCAGGCCTGACCCTGCTTAGCTGCCGAGATCAGCGGGGATCGGGGGGCGTCCAGGGGGGCGTGGCCCGTGGCCTTAGACAGGACTTACTTTTGAATTGAAGAGATCAGGTTAGAACAGGACTAAATAATCTAGCCAAAGGGAAGAGCCTTAGATAATGACATTTGCATTAGACTTTATTTTTAGAGTGAATCCCAGTCCTTCAAATACACATTTCTGTTTCTTGGTGACAGGTCAATGTCAGGGCACAAAATCTAGATCAATATGACTTCCTTAAGGACGAATGGTTTCAGAAGCCTCGTGTGTAATTCTCCATCGGCGAATGGAAAGTGCTGTACCGACTTCATGTAAAGCAATTATAACTGAACAGAAATGAGTGTAGAAAATTCTACCCTCAAAAAGTATGTTTGATTCCGTTTGGATCAGGAAAAGGAAGAAGCTGCCAGGTGTCATCGAGCGCCTGCTCATACTTTCAGAGCGTGTCGAAAACCGGTTTTGTTTCTACCAGACGGGAGCGAGAGCACAGAGTACCTTCGGGAACGGGGAGCGCAGTACCATCTGACCGTCCCTAACCCTGCCCTTCCGGCTTCTGTGCTGTCCTCAGCTCAGAAGTGTTCAGTCTCCCAAATGTTTAGAAGCTGGTCGTTGTTTATTTCTGAGTACTAGTGCAGGTGTGCCTTACTCTTGCCGGCAAAGAGGGACCGTCACGCTTTTAGTTCCTTGGCTTCCTATTTTCTCCTCGACCTGATTGATGACATGCTTCGGCCTAGAAGCAGTTTGGACCAGTCTGTGCCCCCTTACACTCTGGTCCTCCCTGTCTCCTCCACGTGCTTCTGGGACCTCTCGGGTGGGGTGCAGGAACCTCGTCAGCTCTAAAGGAACGTTGCCCACCCATCCGAGCCGTGCCCGTGCGCACTGGTTTTGTAATGAAGCTCGAGGCGTCCGTGAGGAAGCAGGGAGACACAATGGCAAGCGACAAGAAAAGGGAGGAGGATTTCTCGTCTTACGTGTGGGGCCGCAGCATACCATCCGCTCGCTTGCCGGCCTCACGATGCTCCTTTCATTCTGAGGCTGCTAATATGATCATTGTCTCCAGCAAAAAAAATGGTAAGGCGACCTGTATTATGCAGAGGGGCCTCGAGGCCCCGAGGGAGCCGAGAGGATGGATGTGTCGGTATTTCTTCTATCTGAGTTGCAGCCATTGTGTTAGAATACATTGCGGTTCTTTATGACATAGATTTTAGGGGTTCTGCTGCCGAGACAGAGACAGAGACAGAGAACACTATTTGCCATCATTTCTTAAATCCCTACAAATAATACAGTGCCTTTTCCTACCGTCCAGCCGTATGCTACAGGAATAATATTCATCTGGGCATTTCGAGATCTTTAAAGTATTTTTTTAATCCAACCTTTCTATTAGTATATCATATACAATTGTGCCAAGATTTAAAGAAAATGTCAAACATATTTACTGAAATCTGATTTCATAAATGTTTATTTTAATATCATAAAAAGTTCACTCACATTCTCTAACCACCGGGATCTTTGGAAGCAGTTAGTGGACAGAGAAATTGGGGGCACAGAACATTAAAGTATCGAGGACAAAACGATATTATCAGTAATCTATTGGAAATGAAAATAAGCTATATTTAAAATGATAAAATAATTTCAAAGGAGAGTATGATTTATAAAAATGTAATCAATACTCCTTTTCTCCAAGAATGAATCATACACAGTAAGGGATACTATACGTGTCTTACTCTGTTACGGCTGCTGTAACAAAAGACCACGGTCTCGGTGCTTTACACTGGGCTGCCTTCGCTGCTTTGTTGAATATCAGTTGACCATAATTGTGTATACTTCCATATTTCTGGACTCCCTGTCCTGTCCTGTCGATTTGCCCGTTATTTTGCCCGTCCCAAACTTTTGATTACTGTAGTTTTATGGTAGCTCTTCAAGTCAAGTAGTTGTCAGTCCTCTGACATTGTTTTCTTCAATATTGAATTGGATAGTTTGGGTCTTTTTCTTTTCTATATAAAATTTAAAATCAGCTTTTCCATATGTACCAGATTCCTTGCTGGGATTTTTATTGAGATTGTATTGATTATATATATGAAGTCTGGGAAGAACCGACATCTTGACAATATTGAGTAATCCTATCCGCGAACATGGAATATCTCTCCATTCATTTAGTTCTCCGTTGTCAGTTTTCTAGTTTTCTTCATAGATCTTGTACGTTTTGTTAGATTTATACCGAATTATTTCATTTTTGATACTCATTTAAGTGGTGTGATATTTTTAATTTCAAATTGTGTATTGTTCATTGGAGGTATATAGGAAAGTGTTTGACTTTTTATATTAACTTCGTTTCTTGCAACCTTGCTAGAGTTGCTTATTAATTTTAGGAGTTCTGTTGTTAATTCTTTTGGATTCTTCTACATAATCATATCATCTGCAAAATGGTTCTTGAATTAACTACAGCTTCCAGTGCCATGTTGAACAGGAGCGGTAAGATGGGCATCCTTGCCTGGTTCCCAGTCTTGGGGGTAAAC